ACACTAGAGATGAAACTGTCTGAAATCACTGAAGAGCAAGTCCTGCAACGTCAAGTCAGAAGTAAAAAATTACATCCTCTGCGAACATGACACAACAAAGCAGACCTCCAATTCTATCTCATAAGGAGCTCAGGGTCGAAGGAAGGAAGGAACTGGAATTAATTTAGGGACTGTTTCTTTTAGCATTTGGCAGCAGCCAAAGCAATTCTGTTACCACCTCAGGCATGTTTGTACTTTTGACTGCCAATCTGCAAAAGGCAAAATCACAGTGTTCAGACTGTGTCACCAGACCTCCTTTGAGCAGCAGAGTGATTAGAACTGTTCTGATTCTTTAAGGCTTCCATTGCTATATGGGCAGAGGATTTTCTTTTTATTAAGAGAGCTGTAGTATTTTTTATAAGGTCTGGGGCTCTCTTGTGTGTTAGGTTGCATATACTCTATATTTAAAACCAGCATTTTAAATATTCTTTGACTATTTAATTAATATTACAATTACAGAGAAATGCAGCAACTAAGCCTGCAGTGGTCATAACCTGCTACAGAAATACTAACTGTCATGTAAGGTCAACATGAGAAACTGCCAATGAAAGAGCCTTGTGGAAAAAACCTTTTGAAAAAAAAATGTACCTCTTTTTTAAATACCAGTAGACTGTGGCACATCCAAAACCTTTAGCTAAGCTGATATGTGACTGCGGCTGAGGAAGAGAAGAGAGGAAGTCAGGGCTGCAGCGTCCGTCTTGCCACGTGACCAGATTACTGACCTCCTCAGGCTGAAAGTTTGGGCCAGTTTCACTCTCTGTCCATTTACAACCTAAAACACAAGAGTGTCCAAGAATTCCAGTGATTTCCCAAACTACAGTCGCAGCAAACCTAGCATTTTTCATTTCTGGATACTCAAATGATTGTGCAATATATTGGGAAAAGAGCAGAAAATTTGAAAAAAAAAAAAAAAAAAAAAAAAAGGCAGGAGAGATCGCAATCAAATGAATTAGTCATGCTTTTCAGCCCTAAATAATGTCATAAACAGAGAACACTATCCAAAGTCTCCCGTCGCTACTAACACTCCTAGTGTCTAAAGGCACCTTGAGATACTAATGATACAACTTATATATCAGATAACCCACCAAAAAATTGCAGTTTGGCTAAGAGAGGTCACATGCTATGACATCTCTTGGATACAAATCTTAATTAGAATCTGTCACATCATGATCCAGAGAGAGTTGTATTAGTAGCGAGCTGCATACAATGAATAGCACGTAGTTATTTCCATATTTGAGTCAAAGAAAAACTGATTCTATGACAGGCTTTTTTTTTTTTTTCCTTTTAGCTGGGGGATGGGGTAGGCTTTTGTCATATGGATGCAACCTGGGCTGTGCCACTTGACCTCTCATAAGGCACAAGAAGAGGTCCCAGGCTGTTTTACTTACAAACATACACAAAAAGTCTTTTCCGAAGTGGACACATGGATTGGAATTTGTACTCATGCAGTAAGAAACAGCCATGAAAGCTGGGTAGTACGATATGAAACACGCAAATACACATCTTTTTTTCTGTCCCCTTGGTTCTCCGTTCTATCAAGTCTGTTTGAAATGAATTTACAATTGGTTTATTTTTCTAGTTCTAAATGGATTCTAGGAAATACTATCGACCATAAAGCTAACCCTGAAGGATGCTATTAAAACACATAATTTGTCCCCCAAAGCACATGGATTCACTTAGTCTACTCAAAGCAAATGTGAGCAAACAAACTCTTCACTTTATTGAATGGCAGAATTGAAACAAAAGTGACATGTGGCTTTAGGAAATAAAATATTAAGCAAGATCACAAAAGAATCTATGTCTATTACCAACTCAGGAGACTTTGCTAGACAGCCCTTGGGACAGCTGGAAAGCAAACAACGGCTCCTTCAGCCCATCAGGATTATTTTTTCATAATAATTTTAGTAGTTAAGGTAAAATTATAGCCAGTAATGAATAGCATACTGTCTCTTAAAGCAGTTAAGAGCCTAACAACCTAAGGCACACAATGACCAGCACTTTTGGAAAATTTGTTTCATGTTCTACAATAAATCTTTGCTTAATTTGTGTAGCTTCTATTATTATTTTAATACTTTCTATTATTATTTTTAATATATGTATAAATTGCTCAGGTGTTCACATAGTAATGGAAAGAGAATGAAGACAAGGAACCAGATACTGAAATCTGAAATAAATACCCTAGACTTCACCAGCTTAGCCGAGAAGCTGTATCTGACTCCCACAGCTGGCAATCAAGCCCTGTTCTTCAAACATCCTCATTGTCATAAAGATTATTTGAGTATGTACATGATCAAGTCCCATATAACTAATTTATGGTGGCCAATTTCATTTCTGAGATCTTGGCCTTTCAGTGTACAAGCACCTGGGTACCCAGGATCATCACCATAATCGTGATATTCTCCTACTCACAGAAATGTAAGCTGTAAGATCAATGCAACAGGAAACTCTATTATTAACTACAAAGAAGAAAAAAACAAAACAAACAAACATACAAAAAAAACCCCACACAAACAAATTTAAATTAAAAAAAAAAAAAAAAGGACTGAAAACATCTTTTACCAGACTTCAATTTTCCTCCTTCTGCATATGATGGACAAACAATTGTCAACATACAAATATGCAATTCTTCCTTCGTATTACTGGCTGTGTTGACTCTACAAGGATCTCATAAGATTAAATCCCTTAGCTAGTCTATGTAAACAACATGGTTAACTGTAGTGAGCAGCTGACATTCCAGAAATTAAAGCAAAAACCCCACAGAAGAAGATCTGATGATGATTCTGTCTTACGGAAGATCAAAGTTAACACGCAGCAATTTCCTGCAGATCATTTCAGTGCTAAAAATTATTTTCTGCATCATAATATTTGAAATAAGAATGCCAAAGATTTAGTTACCTTGATGTCTTTTCCAAAACACAATCCCATGCATTTGTCCTGAAATACCTATGTGACTGACTCTTTGAAGCTGTTGCTGGGGTAGAGCAGCAAGGCATTCATTCAGTGCTCCTATTATCTTTCTGACATTCTGCTCCATTCCCTGCAATCATAAAGAATATACCAAACATAAAGTCATTGGGATTCACTGACTCTATTAAATAAGCCTACTCTAGCCAGAAGTGAACAATATAATTAATTTAGCTTAATATCATATATTGGAATAATATTTACTCCTAAGTAAATAGGAATAATGCAAAAAAACTCCAACCACAATCCCCTCAAAAACAATACTAGCAAGTTGAGACTGATAGCACCCTACACTGAAGGCCAAATAATTCCCCAAGTAATTTCTATGATTCTAAGTTATCACTCTCAAAATTATTCCTGATAAAAATCTGTCCCCTTCACATGTTCATATTGATACTCTTCCTCCTCACTATATGCCTTTATTAAATAATTTTTATCACTTTTCCCCACAAACAGGATTACCTAGTGAAGAGGTTCTGTTTTGAACGCACTCTCCCACTTTCCTAAAGCCCCTCCACTATTCACTCAGCTTTGATTTTGAAGAAGCTGACACTTCATTTATGGATATTCTGTTCCTAGATCTACCCAGTGCTGATCTACTGGTAAACTGCTCATCTCATGCCACAGTGGAAGCTGGATTACAACTTCTACACTTTTCAAGATTCAGATTACTATGTGACAGAAGATTATATGCAAAAATGTTTAAAGAAAGTATAAACATAGCCCATACATATGATTTGATTTGTGATTTATTAACATGACAAACACAATTCATCTAAACTCAATTCAATCCAAACACAATTCATCTAAAGTCCTCTAACAAGAGTACATATTCCTGGGTATTTCAAATAATCATTGCCAGTTATGATCCCATCTCACAATGAAGTGCAAAATACCCTTCCTGGAGGCAAACTGGTTGTCGTTTCCTGATCAACAGCATCAGATACGAGGTGTTGGTTCACGAGAGAATAATTTCAGATTGTTTTATGACATCTCTGAACCAACGGTGGAAGAAGAGGCAGACTTCTCCAGCAGAAAGTCTACAGAATTAGTTCTCTCTGTCCTGAGAACATTCCTAGTAGCTGCCTGTTCTTGAAACAAGGGAGAATGTTCCTAAAGATTTGCTATTCACCTAATAAACTCATTGGCCCATGTTCTGTTTCAGTTTGACCTAACCATTTTACTAACTTTTCAGTACCTCACTGTCTCTTAAAATAGGTTTTTCTCAGCTTTCTTGAACAGTAAACATGTTTTAACTCCAATTTTGATCGCAAACAACCTTTTCCCTCGTTCCAGGCACAAAGCGACCCAGGAAGGACACTGGAAGCAGCACAGCAGAGCAGTGTGATTTGGCGAGGCTGCTGCCTGAGGGCGACCAGCGCGGCCCCCCGCCAGCCCTTACCTGCTGTCCAGCACCCGGGCTGCTCGTTTGCGCCCGTGTCTCCCTGGAGCAGCTCTCCGTCACCACAGGTCCCTGCTCTCCCCGTACGACCAAGGCGGCCTTAACGGACGTGGTGCCCAGGTCTATGCCCAGCACGCAGGCTGCGCCGGGCCCGCTGCCCGCCATGGCCACCACGGCGAGGGGCAGCTTTCACCTTCCCTGCCCCAGAGACACCCCCGGGTGCTAAGGGAACATGCAGCGCCTGCCCAGGCGGCACGCGCGGAGTGGGGGCACTGCGTGAGCAGCCTGGACTCTGGACTCCTGGCGCTCAGGGAAGAGGACGCCTCCCCTCAACAGGGCCATGGACACTGCCCCTCCATCTTGGGTGAGGCGGGTCGCTCTTTCCCCTCTTCGAGAACGCGGGTGTCTTCGAGTGGCAGCGCAGCAAGAAGGCAAAGTCGCAAGCCACCTCTTCCCACGGCCGCGCTCCCGCCTCACGGCCGCGCTCCCGCCTCACGGCCCCGCCGCCGCCTCACGGCCTAGCCACATCCAAGATGGCCGCCGAGGGCGGCCGCCCCGGCGCTGCGCTGGCCCAGGGGCGTTAGGCGGGGAGTTGATGGGCGACCGCCTCACGTGAGGAGCAGAAAAGGGAAGAACCGGAGGTGCGCGGGACGGAACGGCGGCGTTAGGAGGAGGTAGGCGCCCTTCCTCAGGCGCTTGTCTGAGGCGACAGCCCCCCTCCATTCCCCTTGCAGCGCGGGAGGCAGCTGCTCCACAGCGTTGCCTGCGCGCGGGGCGGCGGCGAACTACAACTCCCAGCGTGCCCCGCGCGCGCCGCCTCAGGCGGGCGGGAGCTGGCGGGGGCGCGGGGGCTGCTGAGACTTGTAGTCGCGCGCGCGAAGCGCGTCGCTGAGGTGAGGGGAGGTCCCCGGCGCCCTGAGGCGGCGGTCGCCTGGGCGCGGCAGCTGGGCGGGCGAATTGCGAGGGGAAGAGATGTCCCCGGGGGCCTGGGCAGAGGAGGGGGTCAAAACGCCGCTGCCTGTGGAGTGGGAGGTAGTCGGGGGTCCCTCCAGCGGGCTGGGGGACGCCGGGAGACGTTTGGCGGGCGTTGCCCCTCAGGCGGCGCTGCGTGGAACCCCAGCGGAGCTTTTCCCTCCCTCCAGTGTCTCCTTCTCCCGCAGGCCGGCTGGGATGGGGATGAGGCGCCTGCTCCTGCCGCTGCTGTGCCTGTCGCTCACGCCGCCGGGGCCTGGCGGTGAGTGTTTGCCCGGGGCAGCAGCAGCTCCTGGCTGGGAAGAGGTGGAAGCGCCGTGCAGGAGATGAGTGTTCTGCTCCGCAGGGCAACGATGTGCACCACGGCTTCTGATGCAGATAATACCCATACAACTTCCCTCAATAGCAGCTCTTGCAGTTTACTCGTACTTAAAGTTCTCAATTCTTTCTAAATATATAAATTTGGAGGTACAGAAAGGTGCTCCCAGCTGTTACACGAGGCTCCTGCCACAGCAGCGGGGCCCCCCACCACGCTAAGGCAATTGGCTGGTATCTACCACTTCTCTGTATCCAGCCCATTAGTTTTTACAGACCACAATTTCAGCTCTAGCTGTCTTAAACTTTGTAGCTCAGGAGGCAAAACAGGGTGCCAATTAAAGAAGCTGTGTTAGAAAATAAGTGCCAAGGATTAATCCATTTATCTCTCTATAAAATTAAGATCAGACACACGAATAGCTCTTTCTTTCTTCTATCACTTTTATCCTTTAAGCATACAAACCCATAACTGCTGTCACATGATAAAGCATTTGAGAGAAAGGTGCTTGAGAATCCTGCAATATTAAGGCAGTCAATGCACGTTCACTTGAACATATGGATACCTGATTTAAATTTTGGCTCAAGGGGTAATTTTAACCTGAACTTTAAGCATTATGACTAGGATCACAGCAAGAAACAATTGGCATGAGTTTAAAATATCATACACCTTCTGTTGGCATGAACTTTTGTTGTACTTCAAATATTTAAATTGCTTCCTTATGACTTGTTCAAGTGACAAGTTTAGTTCCTCTTTAGTTGTTTAGTTTCCCTTGAAACAACCTGCAGTCCTTTTTTGCTGTATGTGTACTATTTTTATTTGACTGGCAGTGCAGACAGCATTTGATGCAATCTTCCTATACATAAGGAAATGGCTGGTTCTTTAGAAGGGGCATTTGTCATTCATAGCAATTGAGGGGAGGTTGTTTGGTTTTGTTTTCCCCAGATGGAGCCATTGTCTTCTCTGTCCCTGAAGTGGTTACATTAGAAAATGGAAGTTCCACAAACATCACTATATCTCTGAGGTAAAATTACAAGTGTAATTTCCCGTCTTTGGAACAGGGGAGAAATTAAAAGACAGGTGTGCAGAGTGAATCTTAGTTGTGTGCAAACGGCCACCTCTAGACCATTATGTCACTTTAAAACCAATTTGGTCCAAAGTGGTGCAGAAAACTCACACACAGCCTTGTGTGGAGTGTGGTTTCAACGATATCCTGGAAGGTCCCAACAATCTCAGGAAGGAACATGGCTAAACAGCACTGCAGAAGCCTAGAGCTCTTATTTTTGCAAAGAAACAGTACTGTAATCTAGTTCATGAACAAGTACAGCATTTGGATCTTAAGATACAACACATACAGTAGTACAATTAAACCTTCTGGACAAATGCCAGCTAGGGAGAAGCTGTACAGAGCACCCTTCCATCACCTCTGCTTATCTTCTGCCCCAAATCCTGTCCTGGTGCTTATTACTCCCTCACTGGTTTGGCTTTGCTCTGCCACCACATAGGTGGCAGAGAGAAGTAAAAGGAAGAGAAGAGGGAGGTAAAATGTGGTCTTATAACTGTCTAGTTATAACCAAGTTTTCAGAAGAAGGAACAGGACATTGCTAAAATACTTTGATGTTGGTCTCCCTTTGAGTACTAGGCAGTTATTGTTGTGTATGGACTGTCCATTAAGTTTGCCATGGCTGTGAGGAATTGGCAGATATTTTCCAATAGGCTGGAAGGAAAGTCTCTGAATTCAGGACCCAGCCTAACTTTTTTTTTTTTTTTTTTGCGCTTTTGCAGGGCTCCATTAAATGAGACACTGTTAATAACACTTAATATTACATACTCATCAAAACACAGAACCATTATTGAACTACCTAATGAAGTAAGTAATGTAACAGACTTGTGACCTTATGCAAAAACCTGCTGTTAGCGTGAACCTCTCCACTTTCTTCGATTTTACCTTGCAGATAAAACTGCCTGCAGGTCTCACTGAGGTAGACTTTCAAGTAAAAGCAGATGATGTTGGACAAGTTACAGTGTATCTTCATACCAGTAATTCCAACTTAACTGGGTGAGAACACTTTTTTTTCCCCCTTACTCTCTGCTTACAGTCTTGCTTTTCCCTACCCTTAAGGTGACTATTCCCTCTTTTTATAGTCAAATAATTAGCAAGACAGGGTTAAGAATCTGTAGGGACCTTCAGCAGTCTTCAAAGTATTCTAATAAACACAGTGTGTGGAAGTAGAGTGGTAGTCTAGGTGTCTTAGATTTCATTACCAAATGACTGTGAATTCTCATGGCTCCTTAGCCTGATTTAGTAACCCCTCCCAAGAGCCTCAAAACTACACATCAGCTTTCCTGATCCACAAAACATTTGGCTGTAGATGCGCACTGAGATATTGCTGTTACTTTACAGGCTACTTGCTAGAGCAAGTTCTAAGTCTTTAAGTTACAGGGGCCCACAGATGCTACTCTCCTCTGTAATAGGAAAAGTAGTCCAGCAACATGGAGAGTAGTAGATTGTATTTTCCCTGTTGCCCACATGGCAGCACACAACATCACACTCTTGTCTTACTTCCTCCTTTTGCTTCTGCTTTTAAAACTTGCAACAAATGCAGAGATAACCACATCCATGAAACGTTCGACAGCACAGGCTTCATCATGAGGTTATGCTGGCAGAGCCTGAAAAGTGAAACTCTGCTGTTGCATAACAGACCACATGCTAAGCAAAAGGAAACACCAGGCACAAGATAAGCTTTTGGAAGATTTGTATGATAGTGAAATGGAAAGGGTCAGACGAGGGAAAAAAAGGGATAAAGCTAGTCATGGCAGAAGTCTTAATTATAACAAGATATTAAAGGAAAAGGGAAAAACTCAATTGAAATCAACTTGGGATATTTACTACCTGGTCTCAAACTCTTTAGTTCAGTTTCCACTTTAAGTGAAAAATATCCTGAAGATATCCTGTGTTAACAGGCTTGTTGGCTAACTTTGTACATTGTTCTTCAGACCTAGGATTCAATTTCAAGTGATTCACAGCATCATAGTGAAATATGCAGATGAGGTGATCGGTTGGATCTATTTCCTTGCCTGGTCTATCTCCTTCTATCCTCAACTCTTTGAGAACTGGCGACGGAAAAGGTAAAGAGACTTAAGGGGTCTTTTGAAGTTACTTGAGCATTAAGCAAGCAGGTCAGAGGAAACTGAGCACTTCCTAAAAATACCTATTCCTAAACTTTGGCATCCAATACTAATCTGTAATAGAGGAGACTTCCTCCTTGCCTTTGGTGCTGTGCTTTACATCATCTGACCAAGCTAGTCTTGATACCCTCTTTGAAGATTACTTATCTTGTTAGCTACTTATCAGACAGCTCCTTGTAGTATTATCATTGCAGCAGCTCTCCCTAAACTGTCATAAGTAGGAAGACTAACATCTATGAACATCTATGCTTTGGCTTACATGAAAAATTTATATTGTGACAATATATTGTCACATCCTAATGAAAAATCCCCCCTGAAACTGGCTGCAATGCTCTGACTTGGTATTTTTCCTACAACTTCTTTTTCTCTCTAGTGTTGTCGGATTGAGCTTTGACTTTATTGCATTAAACCTTATGGGCTTCATAGCATACAGCGTATTTAATGTAGGACTCTTCTGGATTCCCTTAATTAAGGTAAGTATGATTATCTTCAAAATTTAGGCAGGAAGGGGGAGATTATTTGCAGAGGAAGGTATAGTATTTGACTGCTTTTGGCTCCTCTTACATTTAGGAGGAATTCTTACTCAGTTATCCCAATGGAGTGAACCCAGTGGCTATCAACGATGTGTTTTTCAGTCTCCACGCAGTAGTTCTAACTCTTCTCGTCATAATTCAGTGCTGCATCTATGAGGTAGGTCTCTCTTAGGACCGACCTGCCACTCTGGCAGAGCTCCCTCTGTCGGCACCTCATACCACCCTACACTCTGGTCCCCTCTTTCTCTTCCCCAAAGTCATCTTCATTGCCCTTTCCTCAGCCTCTCTAGAAGGGACCCCTGGCAGTCCAGCTGCCTTACCTTCCCTGAGCGACGGGTCACTGCAGCGAGCCTAGCAGCTCCAGCCTCATGGATGTTCTGAACTTATCAGCAGCCTCTTTCAGGACTCAAAATAACTAAGGCAAACAGCCAGGTTCATAAAGTTCCCAAACAGATCTCTAGGCAGTACAAAATACAGCCCTACGCAGTACAGATAGCAGTGTGTGTTGTTGCTGCTGCTGCTTCCTTACCATGCTGAGCCTTCCCTGGTTTAGTTCTGGTCCTCAAACAGCCTGCAGCTCATGAGGTTCCTTTTTCAACCCATCCCCTCCCAAAACAGCTGCTGTGGTTCTTCTATGCTTCCCATCCCATTCCGTCATTAAAGTCAGGTGCTTCATTAAGCTCAGATGGTTGTTTATTTAGTTCCCATAGTAAAAGCTGCTGATCTGAACAGCCAATTTACTCTAGATGGTAACTATTGCTAACAGATAACTATTTCATTTTAATGTATCTGCATTTCTGTCTCAGAGAGCAGGTCAGAAAGTATCCAAAGTTGTTGTTGGACTACTGGCACTCGCATGGATTTTTACAATCACAACATTGTTCCTTGCTGCAGCTGAGGAAATGACGTGGCTACAATTCTTATTTTGCTTCTCTTACACTAAGTTAGCAGTCACACTGATAAAATATTTTCCACAGGTAAATCTCAACTATTTTTCTGGTTTTATACTGTAACACTGTCATGCTGAATGAAGTTCATGTTCTTGAAAGTCTGACTAAAAGGCAGTAACAAGCAATAGTTATTCATATTCAAAGTAGTATGAAGTTCCCATATAGTTATTTGCAGGAGTTATGATGTTAATCCCAGAATATTCACTTTTTTATTGGGATTGCCTGGGGCAGTAGGCAGTAGATTAACTTATAAAATGAAGAGAGGAGTCTCCACGGTGAGTTTTTCTTCCATCAGGAGGGAGCAGCTGAACTTCACTTGCAGAGTACGTTCTGGAGGAGCCAGAGAGGACAAGATTTCCCCTGGCTACTGAGCTGCCACACTAGGTAGCCAGAATTAAGGCCTCACAGGACCACTAGGGTCCAAGAGGTGCCACTAGGCACAGACAAGCAACGAGGTCCTGACCAGTGTCTCATTCCACACCAGGCCTACATGAACTTCCGTCGGAAGAGCACAGAGGGATGGAGCATTGGAAACGTGTTACTAGACTTCACTGGTGGAAGCTTCAGCCTCCTGCAGATGTTTCTGCAGTCATACAACAACGGTAAGGCTGGAAACGAGATGGTTGGGGGCCTAAGTGGTAGTTTGGGGGTGAAATCCTGCTGCAAAGTTTCATCAAGTTAAAAATGACAGTTTATCCTACAGAAACTGCAAAGCAGTTATTAGTTTGCTTTATATGTTTACACACAGCAAACAGTCCTGAGGCCTATCCAAACAATCCAGTTAAGCATCAGCTGCTCAACTACATATGGCTTGGCCATTCAAGGCAATAATTTGTTAGTCTGATTAATTTGTCTTAATTCTCCAATCTTGTGTTTGGCAGACCAGTGGAAGCTAATCTTTGGCGACCCAACCAAGTTTGGCCTGGGTGTCTTCTCCATCATCTTTGATGTTGTTTTTCTGATCCAACACTACTGCCTTTACAGAAGACGGGGGTATGAGCCCTGTGAATAACATCTGCCAAAATAAAAACTTTCTAGTGGACTGACCCCCCCATCTTGGCTGGGAATTTCAAGATGTCTCTTAACCAGCTACCAGAAATACCAAATCTGAGCTCTGCTTACTTTGATCCTTTCTGGTACAGTGTACAAGCTCTTGCCTCACCAAATGCTGATTGCCAAATGCCTTAAAGGATACCAAGCCACTATCTTGTGGATGGAAAAAAACTCTTATACCTGTTGAAGCTGCAAATCCAGCTTGGCTTGAGCTGCTGAAGCAATATGTAGCTCCTCTTCCATTAGCAACAAGAAGGGGAAAGATCAGACCTGTGGTTTTCTGATTGTGCTTCACTTCCAAAGAGCCAGATTTCTGGCTTCCAAAAATCTGAGAGCGTGTTTAAGTAACAACTTAAAATGTTAACGTAGCAACAAAGAAAGCAGCTCCACAGACCTCGCTGCTGCTGCCTCCTCACAGACCAAGTCACAGTGTCCCCCTGGGTGGTAACGGCAATAATGGCACATGAAAGGGATACTGCAAGAAAAGAAAAAAACTAAAAATATTGATGTTAGAGTCTGAACTCCAAGAAAGGAAGATTCCTGAGAAGAAACAGCAGTGGTGTTGCTTTTGCACCAGAAGTTCTTTCAAAGGTGTTAAAACAGTGCTCAGATAAACATATCCGAGCACATCTAGTGCACTAATCTAAATTAATTTTGCTTGGGTGTGCTGACATGTCTGGAGTCCTGTCCTCGTGGTAAGGAATAAAGATTGTCAAAGCAATTATTTCTAAGTGGATCATGTAAATCAATAGCCCAAAGACGCTAAGACGTTTTGATCGTGGGCAACATTCTAAACACAGGGGCTCTCTTCCTGGTACAGATCCAGGCCTTGAGTTTCTGGAAGGTAAGTACTATACGGTGTTACTGTTGACACTGTCCAACATCCACTCAGGAAAACAAGAAGTCCCAGCTGGAGGCCTTCGACTATGTAAAGGGACACAGCTCAGGAAATCCAGCTTTGTTTTATTGTGTGTAAAGTCAAGTGACAAAGCAGTACAAATCGCAGTGTATCTTTTATAGTAACAAAAATAACTTCAGTTTGAAAGCCTTAAAAATTACCACTGAATCATCAATTGATACAAAATTCAAAAGCAGGATTGTAATAATTCAATAGATACAAAAATGGTAAAGAGGCATCTGTTGGTGTGTACAGAACAGTCTGAGATGCATTAATCACAATAGACCTATATGGCACAGCAGTAATGTACTGAATAAGTTAGTCTGCCATCTCCTCGTGCTCTATTTACAACAGCCTACCTGAAAACTGCAGAAGGAAAGTATAGATATGTATAAATCAACTGAGGTGGATTAAGAACTCCAGTTTTCAGATAACTGTAAAGCTAGCTGGTTAACCAGCCACAGAGGATGCTAGATAATTAACTTAAGTTTTGCAGCAAGAATCTTAAATCCTGTAGCACGTAATTGATCTCAACAACTTAGTAGCTTACTAGAAGCTTAAATTTGGTCAAGAGGCACTTATGCAAATTACTGGCATATTCATCTCTTCCATCCAATAAATCAGGAATTTAAGGAAAGCCTTGTACAAGACACAACCCAAAATTCATCCCCACCAGCTGGTGCCTGACAGAAATGGTATAAAGAAAGGCAGGCTACAGAGAGGAGCAGCCCTTTTGCTGAGTCCAGCAGCAGTATTTTCTCTACCTGCTCACATTGCTCTGAACTCCTGCCTTTTAATCTTGATTCCTTTGCTGTTAAGAATTACTAAGGAGCAAGGAGAATAAAGGTTTCACTCAGACAGCAAAGATGAATTGGAGTGTCTAGGAGACTTTAGTGCACTTCACAGGTACTAACCGAACTCTTCTGTATCACTCAGTTGTCTCTTGCCTGAGCAAGTTGCTCCATACAGGGAACCTCTGCTGTAAACCAGAATGCCCAAACCTGTCAGCGCACTGTCCAGCTCGCACAGGGTGAGATTAGTGCAGTGCTCCTCCCCACAGCAGCGTGCAACCCCAGGGGCATTTTAATTTCCCAGCACAGGAGGACAGGACAACTCACAGCTAGAGGCCTGACCACAGCAACCTCTCTTACCTTCCCTGGTAGGAGCCTCACTTCCTTTTGTAATAGGAAGCTTCTGTGTCAAAGTTAGGGCTCCTTAAATAATTAGTAGTTACTTCCTTAAATAATCAGTATTTGTCCTGTCCTCCTGGAACCGTGGCCTATGTAGGGTCTTCCAAGGACCTGCAAGGAAGACTTCAGAGAAGCACCCTGCTGAGGGGAGTAGAGTTTTACTACTGTCAGTGACACCAGAAGAAAAAAAGAAAAAAACAGTGTTTACCACAGGTAGGAACATACACTCCTTCCAGACAGCCTGTTCGGGTCTAGTAGTTGCTTCCTTGCTTGAGATCCAGTCTGTATCTCTCCCTCCCCAGCCCTTCCCAAACCTCACGCTTGCTTAGGACATCATCGACTGCTGCACGGCCTTCTGCAGAGACTGCCTGGTCACGAGCAGCCGCACCACCTCTTCGTTTCTTTTTGTCAGCCTCTTCCTGGCCTGGTCGTGCGTCACCATCGTCATGTCCCAGCCGTTCACCTAGAGAAAGAACAAGGTGCTTCAGCAGGTCCTGACAATGCAGGACAAGCCTGGGGCAAAGTTGCCCATCGCTGGTGGGTTCCCTCAGGCCATCCCAGCCTAACAGCTCTTCCCAAAATCCAGCCAACGGGAACAAACAGGAGGCACGTGCATGGACTCACAGGAGTCCGGTTATTTTTTCCGCTACGTAGTCTCTAAGAGGAGGTAACTGCTGCTTGGCCTACCCTCACAGCAGCCCTGGAAGCACCTCCAGACAGCACTTCCCCCGGCAGAAGCTTCTCCGCTGCACACCCCCAGGCACCGAACGGGCTCTTGTCTTAGCCTGGTGTTTACCTGCATGATCTTGTCACCGATCTGCAGCCCCGCCACTTCTGCTGGGCCTCCTTCAGTCACCCTCGTCACATAAATACCCTGCGGAAAAAAAATAAGTGCTTGTTTGCTACCTATGGAAGCATTAAATCCTCAGAGAGCTACTTCACTAGCAATGAAAAAATACTTTGTGCTGTACTGCTGGATTCAAGTTAACAGCAAGCTTTGTGAGGCTGGAAAGCAGGAGCTGCACAAAGCCGAGTTCAACGCCAGCCCGTCCGCGGCCGGTCACGCGGTGCTGGCACAACCTGGCAGCCACGAGAGGTGACAGGAGGCAGGAGCCAACAAGCACGCGCGGCGCTTCGCAGAGATAGTTGGTGCTGAGAGCAAAGAGCTTCTGACCTTGTCGGTCTTGTCCTCGGAGAAGGGATTCTGAGTGGGGTCCTGGTCAATGCCGCCTCCAATGCTGAATCCTAGGATCAGGTTGTCACCCTGGCGGAGTTTATGTATTTCAATTCTTTGCTGAAAGGAAAACAGAATAACAGAGTACTGCGATTGCTGGAAGAAACCCTTAAGTCTGTTTCAGATGCACACAAGGCAGGTAGGTATTTCTGTCGCACAGATGCTATACAGCTCAGTTAGCTCCCCTGGCCAGGCGCTGTCACAGCCCCAGTCAGGATTAGAGCCCTGAGTCAAACCCCTTGGCAAGTCAGACCATTAGGCCACGTCTGCCGGAGCCAGGGCTGCCTGGGGCGGCTCCGGGTCCCACCCTGCCCGGACCCGGAGCCGCGAGCGCCGCCCAAGGTGCCCGCGCGGCCCTGGAGCGGAGCAGCCGCCCCGGAGCGCGAGCCCGGCTCCGAGCGCGGCGGCCGCTCCGCTCCCTGTCTGCCCCAGCGCTGCTCTTCCCGCGCAGCCTCCTCAGCGGAGGCAGCCGCCTGTTCCGGGAACGTTTATTTCCAGGTGCCACGAATTATCCGCTAGATTTCCCTGCGGTGCCCGCGGGAAGCGCCGGGCTGGGCCGGAGGCTCCCGGCCGCAGGAAGGAGCCCGCGCGCCGGGACGTGCCCCGCGCCCTCCTCACCGCCCCCCCAGAGGGGGCTGAAACCGCGGCCCTCGAGGCGCTGGGGGCCCCGCGGCGCCCCGTGCCCTCTCACCACCACGGCGGTGACCGGCTGCCCCGGCACGTAGGACATGGCGGCTCCGCCACCCGCCGCCGCCGCCGCGCGAACAAAGCGCCGCGCCCGCCGCGCCGCCCCGCCCGGCGCTGACGCGCACGCCGGAAGCCGCCCCGCGCATCCCGGCGGCCCGCGCGCCAAGATGCCCGACAGGAGCTTCCGCCGGTAGGGCCGGCGGGCGGCGGGAGCGGCGCGCGGGGTCCCGCCCCGGAGGAGAGGTAGGAACCGGGGCGGGGGGGGGAGCGGCGGCGGCGCCTCAGCGCCGGTAACGGGAGCCGCCGCCCACGCGCCTGTCCCCGCCGCAGGGCCGCCTAGAGGCAGCGAGGCCGGCGGCCATGGCGGCGGCGCGGCGCGAGGGGCCGCAGTTCATCAGCGAGGCGGCCGTGCGCGGCAACGCCGCCGTGCTCGACTACTGCCGCACGTCGGTGTCGGCGCTCTCGGGCGCCACCGCCGGCATCCTGGGCCTCAGCGGCCTGCACGGCTTCGTCTTCTACTTCCTGGCCTCCGTGCTGCTCTCCGTGCTGCTCGTGCTCAAGGCCGGCCGCCGATGGAACAAGTACTTCAAGTCGCGGCGGCCGCTCTTCACCGGCGGGCTCGTCGGGGGGCTCTTCACCTACGTCCTCTTCTGGACCTTCCTCTACGGCATGGTGCACGTGTACTGAGGCGGCGCCCGGGCCCCGCGGCCTCCCTGCGTCCCGCGCGGTGCCGCGGAGGCGGCAGCGCCCGCTCGTCCCGCGCGCGGCCCCGGCGCCCTGCGGCTGCGAGGAGCAGTCGTCCTCACGGGCAGCTAGGCTGCTGCTTGCGACGGGGGACGAGCCGGCACCCCCAGTAACCCACGGACACGGGCAGTAGTTCACAGTAGTATGTAATTAAGTGTACGGAAGGTTTGGGTACAGAAGTACATTTGAGTTGCTAGTGCAAATGTTATCCTTCACAGTTGCTCTCTGTGCACTCTATAAATAAATGTCATTTCCATGGATGCTCGGCCCTGCCCTCCACCGCAGTCGGTACCGTGCAAGTCAGATGCTTTGCTCTGAACCCCGGCGTGTCCGGGGAAATACAGGCAACCGAATGAGCGACGGTGGCTGCTCGACTGCGCCGACACCAGCGATGCTGTTAGCACCCACCCCAGCTGAACGAAACGTGAGGAGGGTTCCACGTGTCCCTGCCAGGAACCAAAAGAAAAAATGAATCCCTCCTGCTGCCCGGACCCCTCTTTGCCAGAGAGGGGCTCCTGCAGCCCGAGCAGCAGGCCCAGCCTCCAAACTCATGAGCTGCTCTGTCTGGTTTTTTGAATAGGTCACTGCTTCACCAGAACCTTGTTTAAGGTACAGTTACTTTTACAACATCAGGTACTTAGGTATTTAAAAAACTTTACTGAAAAGCCAGCTGCTAGCAAAATACAAGGTTATCTAAAAGGTGGGTTTGATAAGTGTTGCCGTGGTGACAGCTGTAATTTTGAGGAGGAAAAAGATGGTCAAGGTTTTAATTCCCTTAGTGGTGTCCTTCAACAGATTCATTCTGCCAGAGTTGGCACTTGTTACCCATTAACAGTTATCCGTCTATACTTGCACTATTCAAATTACATTGCTTAGATTATGCATCCCCAAAGGAAACAGATTTACAGGGGTAAAGAAGTTACCTAAAGAAGAGCAGGGTTTGCCGAGAGTCTTGGACAGCATTGCCCTGAAATGACCACTTTTATTGCAGTACATAAAAAAAATGCTGAAGAGGGATAAAAGCTTGAGGAAAGTGTTTTAGAAAAAGCAACAGCTGTGGAAATTCCATTGAAGAAGGGATAAAGTAGGGAAATGCTCTAGGGAATCTGGCTGGGGGCTGAAGCCCTTGAAGATTTCAGTCAGGAAGGAGCCTAGGTTGGCTAACAAGAGGTTGTTTTCTCAAGGTGAAGCTTTAGCTTCAGAAGAACAAGATCTCATGTGTTACCAAGGGCTATGGGATCTCCTTGGCCCAATGTGCTGTTCACCACGTGCTTCGGCATCTAAAAATCATTTAAACAGAATTAGACTTTGACAGTACAAAAAAAAAAAATCTATGCCATCAACAGCAAATGAAACCACAAAACACAGAATGGGGAACTGGGACCATCTCTGCGCAGATGCTCTCAGCAGTGTGTTGCTTCTCAGCACGCTAACCCGCTCTGCACGCGCTGTCAGCCACAAGAACATCTGTCCCTTCCTCGCTTCAAAATCTTCTCTGCCTGACGATACCTTTTCTGTACTCTGGGCCAATTGTGAGTGGAAAATCTGGGGAGCAGGTGAGGTAGCTGGGATCCAGACATGGCTAAAATGCTTTCCCCATTCAAGGTTGTGGTAGGCTCGTCCTCTCGTCCGGCTGTTCCCAGGAGAACTGAGCAGAGCACCTTGTTGCAGCCACTTTAAGGGCTCTTCTTGAAGCAGTGTTTCTTCTAGCCCTCTGGTTACACCAACACAGCAGTGCCCCCGAAAAACGCCCGGGCAGCACAGGCACCGTAGGATAGAAAGCCCCTTTTCCCTGGACTACAACACTGCATTCCTGACACAGGCGCACAGCTTTGCAGCTAATCTTGCAAATAAAACAAGCGAGACCTGGGAGCTGAGGTTGCAGGCCAGTGGAGCAGGACACAGGTCCGTTCTTGGTCTCCTCAGGACCTTAGTGGTGTTTCACATTGCTGCCCTCTTGCACACAGAAGCAAACACAGGATAATGCTGGTTATGGATATGGGTACAGATGTATCTATAAATAGATATAAAAACATTCACTTGGTGTCTTCCTTTTCCTTTTATAAAATCCTTTTATAAATCCATAGTGATAACAGCTGTCACAAGCTCAGGGTATCAGAGAACATCTGAGGGCAAGAAGAGCTTCTCTGAAGGACGTTCTGTCTTCTCTGGGAATTCTGAGAATACAGTGCATGTGATCTGTGGTGTCTCCACCTCCCAAGTCCCAGTGTGATTCCACACCTGTGTCACTTTCCTGGATCATGTTTCCAGCTAGCAGCCCCTCCACTGTGGCTAGAGTCCACCAAGCTGCTCTGGGCTCTGGTTCCCGTTATGAGTAGGGCTATTTAGTGATTTCCTGGAAGTGGACCTGAGGAAACAAACAAAGATACAGTAAAGGCAAGCGGCTTATCTTCCTTTCAGGAGGCAGTGTGGGGAAGAGCTGCCCAGCCAGGCCACTCACCCCTGTCCACAAAGGTGGACTTCCCAGAAATGAAATTCCCATCTCCCTGGGCTCCTGCAGCTGTCCCAATTCCTTTTGCAGTCACTATGGACCAAGAATGGGAGGCCTTCTAGAGAGCCACGGTGATACAGCAGCTTCCCTCTCTGCCCAGCTAACTGCAGCAGTGATTAAGGAGGGAGCTAAAACTTGGCTAAACTCACTTGGAGGCATATAAATTCCTGCAGTGAACAGCCTTTGTGTGTCATTAGTTTATTGCGGTTCCCGTATCTCCAATTTCTATTAGTCATAACAATAAAGCTATTATGTTTATACACAAAACCTAAGTCCCACTTACTTGACTTCCTCATACTTTTTGCCTCGATAAAAGTTACTCTTTTTAATGAGGTACAGCAGCACCAGGTCACAGAAAAAAGCTCCCTGCAAAACAGTAGAGAGAACTTATCAGGAACACACCCAGTTAGTGGGGAACACTAACAAATACACAGATGGACACGACTGAGTAATGACAGTACTAGGAAATTCTTCTGGAAAAGGAATAACAGATTATCCCAGTTCATACTTGTAACACCCAACTAAGCACATTTCTGCAAGGAAGTCAATTAACTTACCGCTCCCATGAGAGCAAGCCCCGAACCAATATTGATAATGGTGGGAATGATGTTAAATTTACCTGCCTGAAAGAAAAAACAGGTCATGAAGTATTTAGTGGAAGAACAACCCCCAAACAAGTTTAAAGATAAGGAAGAGTTATGCAAGGGAAACTACTTGGGCCTGTAGGTGTTTTGTTAGCAAGAAGTGGCTGGAGAAAGGTCAGCGCTGACCTATCTTTGAGGCTAAAGGTCTGTGATTGTCTTGGATCCAGCTGCCTGTGGCTCTAGTTCTGACCTTGTGCCATTCCTGGATTATGCTTCTTTTTCTACAGAGAATATTCATGGAAAAGTCTCAGGAGCATCTTTACCTCTACGGGACTTTACGTGAGCCTAGTTTTAGGGATATGAGGTGCAAACCGCTGCTTTTTACCCCATCCACACTCTAGGTCATCTTCCTTATGTGCAATTAGCTCTGCATGAATGAATGGCAAGCGACCTTCCCTCTAACAAGCTGCCAGGCTCCAGGCTCCGAAATCTCCCGGCCTGCGAGCTCACCTTGCCGTTCACCATCACGTCAAAGCGGATTCCATAGGCTTTAATGAGCGTCCGGTAGTCGACTCCATTGGCATCCTGGTAGTACTTGGCAAACCTGGAATTCAACAATGTTGATTTAACTCCACAGTGCACATGAACACACTGATTTTGCTGCCCAGGTCAGACAAATCTGTCTCCTGTCAGAGGCAGCTTCAGCTTACAAGCTCGGTCCCAACATCAGCTCCCACAGGACCCCTCAGAGCTCTCCCTTCCTAAGAAGGTATCTCCCTTCTATCCTCAGCTCCGTTAGTCAGAAAACCACTCACATTGGGAGCTGTCTACATGTGGTTAGAGAGAGCTGCTTCTCTAGGCATTCCTTCCTCATTGCCATGGAAATCTCTGATAAACTGGAGATTTCCTGGCTGGGGCCTGTGGGTCATCCCTGCAATCACAGGCCGGGACTCAGGTAGGGGGAGCAGTGGGTAACACTGATTACAAGGGCACTGGCAGAAGTCACAACTGATCTGTTTTCAAGCTGGGATCTCAGAGCTGGCCATGAGCATCCACGTTCCCTCCCTCAGCTTGGCCAACGGCACTGCCTGGCAGCGCCCGCTGCTCCGCTGCCGAGCTCCCTCGCCCCGCAGCCCAACGGGCTCTGCCCAGCCGCACGTACCGCATCACGTTCTCCGCTTTGCCTACCTGAAGTTGTACCCAGAAGAGACGGATTTTTCTGCAAACTTGTTATCCAGTCGGCTAAAAGAATAGTGAGGATTACATTCAGAAGGGGCTTTATCAAGATCACAGTTCCATTCAATCTGAATTCCTATCACACCACCCTTAACAAAAGAGAGAGACAGTGTGAGTTTTTTAAGCTTAGTTCAATCAATCAGTCTTCAAAATTGTCTGATTCTCCGGTAAGTTTCCCCCAGGCACAAAACCTGACATTTGTGGTCACGGACACAAGCATGTACTTCTGCATCACCTAAGTCCATGCTTATAATACTAACCATATTATTCTACACTACTGCCCCCCTGGATTTGTCCATACTGATATCACAGGGAGTACAATACAGACTTCACATGGCCCCAAACTAGCTTAAAAGGAAGCAAAGTGACCTCACCCCAGGGCACTGATTTTATTCATCAGTTACAGACTTCCATGCAAGTCCTTCTTCTGTAAACAGACAGAGATGAGAAGCGCAGAGGGCAGCACAAAGCCCACACTCTTCTCAGCCCGCGCCTCCTGGGATGCCTCCCGTGGGCTCTGTTCCCCCACCTGCTACACGAGTGCATTGCAGCCCATTTGGCTCCGCAGCCCCAGGCCTCCGTGAGTAGCCCATGCAGAAACGTGTCCCTTTTCTTGGCGTGTCCCACAAAGGAAGCCTCAAGGGGCTTCTCTGAGCGGGAGGAGCCCCACTCACTTTCCAGAGTTATTTGCATCCAAACCCTTGTAGTCATGATAAATTAATTAAGCGGCAAACCCTGCTGGCAGAGCAATGTGGGACAGCCCTGAATAACAGATAAGTGACCTGACCACCTCTTCTGCAGAACCTGCAACATGGCTTCACCTGCACAACTGTTCCCATTCCCTGGGGTTGAAATAAATGGGATTCAGCCCGATTTTAAGAAACAGCATCTCTCAGCTGCTCCCTGAACCCAGATAGGTGGCAAATTCCCAAGCAATCAGTGGTTTTCCCTTGAGTTGCCCAGGTAACAGTACAGCCAGTTGGCAAAACACATGAGTCAGAGGGGTGCTCCCACCTCCAAGGCCATTTCCTGGAAGTTGCTCCCAGCCCATCTGACAATGCTTCCCAGGAGGAAGATGGGGCAGTAGGGATGCTCTTCGCTGTAGCGACAGCTTTTCAGGTAGGACTCATTGCTGGTTGCCAGCACGTTCATCCTGCAGGGGAGGAACAGAGAAAAGCACCTCATCTCCCTCCTTGCCACAGCTCTCAGAGGGCACCCTCACAGCTGCAGAGACAAGGACTCCTCCAACATCCCATGTGCTCAACAGCACAACAACAGGCAGGAGAAGGAGGCTGGAGCGAATGGAGGACATTGGCTCTGCAATGATGAGGACACAGGGACCTCTGAGCACCTGCACTTACTTGGAGAACTTAAACTTGGGGAAGCGGATTGAGTTCTTGATGTAGATGGTGAAGTTCTCTGCGCTGCCGAGAAGAGGTCTCCTGGAAAAGAATGACTCGTTATCTGTAGTATGTTGCTGCCTTGCCCAAGCGTTTAAGCTGGGATTTTCATTGCAGAAACACTTAAGTTGTATCCTGTGGTGCTTCTGTAGGGTGGACCCTCTGGTCAGAGCCAGACTGTGCATCTCCCCGGGGCAGTCTCAGCTACCCCCGCCTGCCAGCCGTGCCACTTGCAGCCTTGCCAGCGAGGTGGTAGCGAGGGAGGGGACAGAGAGCTGGACACGGTGCTGGGACAGCCGGACAGGCAAGCAGAGGGGAGCAGAGGCCCCGTCCTGCCAGGGGGCTGTGCGGAGCTCCCTGCTGCACTGGAGTAGCCAACATTCAAACAAGCATCCAAGCAGTGGGAACAAACAGCTCTGGAGGACATGCAAGCCAAAGCAAGGCAAGCTTAGAAACAGCACAGGATGGCCACATACTTGGGCTTGTATCTTTTCTCCACAGGGCACCAGGCCAATATCTCACAAGTCCCTCTGATGTTGTCCCTGTCTTTCAAACAACGGCCAGTCTTAACCCCTGCAGCACAGATATCACAGAAAAGGTCACCAAGAACAGCCATCTGCTCTGTCAGAAGGGCAAATGAAAGTCAGATGCTTTTCACTGTTTCACTGCCATATTAAGACCTCCCCTCCTTGTTGTGAAAGGGCTTCTCAAGTGGAACAACTGCTCTCTTGTTGCTTCTCCGAGCAGCCTGGAGTGCTTTGGCCCAGCACTGTGGCTTAGCAGAGCTGTAAACGAGGCAGCAGCCTCAATAAAAGACAACAAAGAAAAGAAAACCATGACTACGTTTTCCTGACTACTAGTCTGCGATTTTTGCTGCTGTATCCATGCTGATGTCTTTGAAGGAACCTGCCTCTGCCCTAACCAGTAGAGGAGGAAGGATCCTCTCCTTACCATTGCCAGCCACCACTGCTTCCCCTGCGGGGCAGTCCCCATCGGCGTAGCACAGGGCATCAGGAATGCTGTCACTCTGCAAAGCCAAGGGGGACAGAGGTGAGCTGGGTGACAGGACACTGCAGCCGGGAGGAGAACCCTGTAGGTCCTGCTGCAGCCCCTGGAGGGTTTATGCCCAAAGCAGCTGTGGAGGTTCCCTCAGGCAAGGGCTGCAGGAGCTGTGCAGCTGCCTGCTGAGCAAATGCAGCCACTAGAGGCCAGCCACGACCTGAGCAACAGGCTGTGCTCTCAGCCTCGGCCTCCCCTGGGCTGGTGGCAAGACAAATGAATTGGGGATACACAGCACTGCTCCCTGGATGGCCAGAATCATCCTCCCCCAGGCTGCAGCCATTCTGAAACAGGTAGCCACAGGGGACATTTGAACATACCCCTTTTGGAAAGGCCTCATGGCCTTGGCCTTGAAGTGATACACCGCCCCTGGTGCCCAGTGAAGCACAAGAGTTCAGGCCTTCCTCAGCAGGTGTCCTAGAAAGTCCCTTTTACGCTTAACTAGCCTCAGTCACCTCAAAGTTGTTCCCATGGCTTTTTCCACCCCTAAACAATCCCTCTTCTGCTTTCATCTCCACCGGGGCAGAGGTCCAACTCTTCACTGAAGTCAGCCAGACTCTGGTGTGACCAGCCCCTCTGGAGATGAAGACAGCTGAACTGTCCAGGTTTTCAGTGACCTGCCCCATTTCCCACATTGAGATGTACTGCAGAGAAAAAGCACCAGAATGAATTGCCTTTCATTCTCCCCATGTTCTCTACTTCTAGGGCTGTGGGGATCAAGGTGTTCAGTTCTTGCACCTACCTCAGGACACGTCGCTTGCTTCTGGTTTGGGGTCACGATCAGGTTTGTCATGACAAAGAAGACATTTTCACCCTAGAATAAACAAAGCAAGAGGGGGAGAATTAGAAAACCTATCAGACCGTTTTACCTGTTACAAGGAGGCCACAGTCCTCAGCTGAACAGTAACACTTCCTTCTCTCCTGGTGCTTTTCAGGCTGAAATAAAATAGCGCCTCTTCTTTGGGTGTTTGCTCGGGTGAGGCTGGATACTCACAGTGTCATACACGGCCGGGAAGCCCTGACACAGCAAAGTGCAGCAATCAGGTCAATCGCTCAAAAAAACAGCTAAGGGCTGACAACAAAAGGAGTTGTGTGTCCCAGGTTACGGTGCTCTCATCCACTAAATCATGCTGCTTCTCCAGTACAGATGTGAGCCTCCTGATACGCACCTGGCGAGTGTGATCAGGCAGCCTCGGCGTGAGCAGAAGGACATAGGGCTGCAGCAGGTCTCCGTGACACAGGCTCTGCTTCAACAACTGCATTAATTTGGAGAGCAAACTGTCTGCCAGGAGCACCGAGCTCTGTCTCACTGGCTGCCTGGCAACCCCTTGTCCTCCTTTGCCACGAGGACACGGCGACAGAGCAAGACCCCGTCCGCGGCAGGGCCCAGAGGCAGCCAGAGCAGCACTGCTGCGGGCCGGGGCCGCGCGGCCGGGCAGGGCTCGGGCACGTTTGCTGCAACACCACGGCTGTGTGATAAAACGGAGCAAAGCAGCTATAGCATGGGCTGTAGTAGAGGGAATACAGATCATTTTACCAAGCAACTGGGATGGCTGGCCAAGACACACAAGAGACACTTGACTGCAGTTTTGTCCCTAAAATCCTTATTTCTGGCAGGGTGCTGACCTGTTTCTGGGATTGTCCTGTCTTTGCATATTCATAATTCTACCTCATTCCTTCTGCAGCTTCAGCAAGAAGAGTTTCAGTAAGTGCTTACACAGTGTCCCGTCAATAACCAGCTGGCAAAGGTCCCCCCAGGAAAAAGCTGAAGGTGGCTGCAGAGGCCATGAGCAGGCAGTTTGCCACAGCATGGGGCAGAGAGGCTGGTTCTCTGTCTTTATTATTCAGAAGTGAGACAAATACAGAAATAAAGCATGTGCTTTTATCACCTCCTCTGCGCAGCACGCACACACAGAAAGGAAATCAGCAATAAACTCACTCACAGCACTTGGCTGCAGCTACAAAAGTGCTGGGGTTCCCAACATCAGTCACCAAAGGGACACACATAGTCGAGAGAGCCAGCCTAAAAGATGTGTCCGAGGTGCTGCTCACAGCATGAGCAGAAAAAAAGACCCAGCTCCATAAACACAACCAAACACGACCAGCTCCATAAACACAACCAACACAATGTGCAAGGCAGGGCCAGCCCGAGCATCTGAGTGAGCACTGGGCAATAAATGCACCCGATGAAGAGCAAACTGGATCCCAGGCATCACCCAGTCACTCTGTGTCATGACAGAAGGCTCAGAGTGTTTGGAGGTTTCTACCAAACTGCCAAGGAACGAATGAAGCTCAGTCCAAAGAAGCAATGAGTGAAGGATTCATCTGGTGGATCCCTGCTCTGCATTCTGCTTAACCCCAAAATGCCACAAGTTCATCCTGTCCAAGGGTATTTTCAGCTCACAGTGGTAAAGTTCAGTAGATTGTGTGTCTACTGTTCAATCTGGGGCAAGGTCTGAAAAAACAAACAAAAAAACCCTTCTTTCCACAGAGCCCTGCTTGTTTCACACAAACATCAGGGATCTTCACTTAGCTTTTGCAAGAGCAGAGCTCTGTGCTCTCGTGCTTGGCTGCTTCTCTTCCACCTCCCTGCTGTGATGTGCAGGGGGATCATTTGCCCCCCCATGCCAGTAGTGCTGCAGGAGGCAGGAATCAGCCCCAGCAGGAGGGAGGCTGTGACCCGCTAAGCCAGGAGCTGCCGCCCCTCCACCCAGCCCTCACTGCCTCCTGCTCCGCTCCCCAGGTCTCTCCAGGGCTCGCCAGCCACCCAGCCTGGGCAGCTCAGAGTCCTCCCTCCTAAGTAAAATAAGAGATTGTGCTGCATTTGCCAGATGCCAGTGGCTTAATGCACTGAGAGCAGACACTCAAGCACTCCTAAAAAGCCGCCATACGGGGTGGATCTGATGGCTGAGGCGAGACAGCAGCCCAGCCGCAAACAGCCCTTGGAGAAAGGGGCTCAGGGGATGTCCGCATTCACATCTGCAACCCACAGAGCTTGTGCTCTATCGTGCTCTAAGAGAGCCCAAGGTCTAACCCCGCAGTGGTTATGGAGTTGAGGTTGCAGGGCAGACTGCAGCAATGCTGGATCCAATATTGCTGTCTGATTGCCACAACACATTCTGATTTATGCAGCTATTGTGGAAGAATGATGCTGTAGCCGAGGGCTGCTTTACTGAGCGTGCCAGCTCAGAGGGTGAGCTGGCTACCTTTATTTAGTGCCTCACACTAGGAGGGCTCCCAAAAAACCAATACACGGTAACAGGATCACTGCTGGAATCACAGGGGAAATGTCAGACAAGTTACAACACTGGCCAACCTCTCCATTTCATCTATGGGTGTGCACAGCAGCCACCTGCTTCCTCCGGGCTTCCATGCACCCCGAACAAGAGCGCATCGGGCACCTCAAGCACACTGCCTGGTGCTCCTGCTGCCTGGCAAGCTCTGGAGTGAGGTCTAGAGTCTGCAGGGAGACTTTGTGCTAAAACTGGTGGAGAAGCAGAGCACAGGTCCACAGATCTGAGCAAACCTAGGCAGCAGCAGCAGGAGAATGAAGTCTTATCCACAGAGTAGTTCACTCAATTTATAGTCCTCTGTCCACTGTCAGTGTCACACACTTCCATGCACGTGTGATGGATACTGGTAAGGAAAGCACACAGCCCATGGCCAGAACAGCTGAGCAATTCCCACCACAGAGCCCAGCTGCATCTGCTGGCATCTTTTCTGCGTGAGCAGCAGCCATGCATCTCACTGAGCAAGGCAAGGAAGCAGCAAGGCAAGCCTAGGCAGACACCAGCTCACATCTTTCAAATTGCACCACATCTCCTTTCCATCTCCTGCCTCCTCTGGGCTCCCCTGCCTGGGCCTGCTCTGGTCCAGCAAGGCAGGGGAGCAGCAGCTTCGCTCAGCCAAGCAGTCCCAGGCAGATCCATGGGACATCCCACTGAAATCCATGGGGCTTCGGCTGAAAGAGTGTCAAGAGTCTCTGAGAGAGACAAGGCTGCTTTGACATCTGCTGGAAAGACCTAAGGGAGACACAGAACTGCTCCCTTTTAGCCCATCTCTGCTTCTTCCCAGGAAAGGTCTGCGCAAGCCCCCTCAGCACAACCAACAGCAACCAGGCCGGAACATCTTTCCAGCTGAAGAGCAGAGCTGAGAGCGCCAGGGTGGTGCTAACCTGTGGAGGGATGACGTAGTCCGCCACGTCCCACAGCCTCTCCCCCAGCTCCGAGGTGTTGGTGAAGGCGACCCCTTTCAGCTTGGTGATGACAGAGCTCTGCAGGGACGTGTCTGTGTCCTGATAGCCTTTCTTGACAACAAAAACCCACCTGCAAGGAACACAGCAGGCAGCAGCATTAGCAGGTGGGGACAACTTAGCCAGAAGATTTACACCAAGGCCAAACACCATTCAAGAGCAAAGCCAAATACCCCGGTGACACCAAGCCCCCTGCAACTGCTACTCCAGATTTAGCATGAACTTTGACATGCACTTATCTATAGCACAGGAGGAAAAGTTAGGACCAAGCCCACACATGCAGGGAAGGGTGAAATAACTGGTCACTGGGTATAACACTAAGATTCGTGCTCCCTGTCCTGTGCTCTACCCTCTCCCAGATGGGTAATAAAACAAGCTTTTTCAAGTTGCAGAAGAGAGCTGGTGTGGTTGCACAAATAAATGACTCTCAATTTAGAGCCTGCCATTAAGCTGCCAGTCCAGCAACAGATTGTGACAGGGCAGACGCAACTGCAGAAGGCAAAATTAATATGAGGAATAGAAATCTCTGCAGAATGTTCTCAGCCAGATGCAGAACCTTCTGTAAACAAGTGCCATGGTAACAACATGATTTCACCCTGGCCTCTATGCTGTGGCCTATGGCAGGGCTTCTCCCCAGTACACCTGGAAAAGCTGCTGTCTCCTCATGAATGGTCATGGGGAAAGCTTCTCTTGCTTCTTACCACTAGAAATAGCAAGAACTCAAGGGGAAGGCACGGGGCAAAGAGGCCTCCAAACTGAATGACGCGCCTGCCGTTCCACACAGCACTGCCAGAGGCACTTACCAGGTCAAGAAACCAGTCAAGACCCTTGGAAGAGCTCAGAGGACCATGGCAGGTTGGCTGTGCACATGTCCCTGCACTGGCCTGGCGCATGCTACTGCTTGCACAAAGCCAAAGCGACCCTCTCTAGTGCTGAGCAGCACTCATGGGTGCCGCCCTTCACCCACCTCTTGCTGATAAACCCAAATAACCTTTTCCACCCTTGTGGAGTCTCCTTCTTTCGTTTGTTTGTTTGTTTTCCCCAAGAACACTATTCTTCTCCCCAGGAAGACTTCAAGGCAGATCCCCAACTCCTCTGAGTGAATATGAAAGGAAATGGTAGCCAGGGCCAAGAAACAACTTGGCTGCTCATTGCAACTCCATGGCCATCCTCCGAATAGATACTTGTACATAATTAAGCAACGGTAACCACCTCTGTGACTAAGGTCTAGCCCCTCTATGGCCAGGCTTACCACAGACACCACGCTTACCATTGCCAACCTCTGGCACCATCGATGGTGCCAAAGGTTGGCAGAGGGCACTACATGCCCAGGAGAGGAAACAGCTGACGTGGCCCAGGCAGCCCCTGAAGAGCCAAGGTCACTGGTCGTTACAGTCTTCCTGTGCAGAAGATGTGTCCTCATCTGCAGGATTCCTCCTTCCGCAGCTGATAACATGCCAGACTGCTGAGACTCTATCTCTGCCCAGCTAAACAAGTAGCCTCTGGAATGTTATCCCTTTCTATAAATACATCCAGTAGGCATAAATGACTCTACTATATTTAATCACTGAAGCCAGAAGGTGAGAGAAAAGAGATTCAAAAGCACAGACAGTGAGGGGTTTGATTTACAAATTACCTCCTGAAAAGCCTCTGAAACTCAGGAAGCAATGACACAGATATCACCCCGGTTGGATAATGCCAGGTCTGAGCCTGCAAGGGCTGTTGCCGTGTTTGCTACAGTCAGGGCAGTCAGTCTCCTGCAGAACCAGGCTTTTCCTGAGCTACCTCCACATCAGTCAGCCTCGCTCTGAAATAAATGCAAGGCAGCTGATGTTCATGCTGCCTCATCCTGCATATTCCCAGCTGCTGCAGCCCATTCCAGCAAAGGAATTAGCCACTTTGTTCTTGTTCCCTCCTGTATAGATTTGAGCAAATCTATACAAATCCTGTATAGATTTGAGCATGTCATACAGTCGTGGAGACAAGCCGAGCTTGCCTCAAGGCTCAGCAGCCATAGCCAGAAATGCTGCTGTTTCTAAGGAGTCAGGTATTAAGGTTTGGCATCACTCCCACAGAATACAGAAATAAAAATCTAAATAATTCATCGCAAAGCCATAGTGCTGTTTGATCTATTTTTAACCCCAGCCTAACCTAATCTGAAAGGCAGAGATGAATCTAACAATCCCTGGGCAGGTGAAGAGTCAGACAGAGAGATGTCAGACATGACAAAATTCTGACTTTATAAACAAGCACAAGCATCAGCATTAAAATTGTAAGCCCCAGCAAGCTGTCACTATATGCAAAGTATCTGACATTAGTCCTGATCACAGCACAGCAGGCAAACGTAGACACAGCAGGATAGTAAATGTACAGTGATTCTTACCCCACCAGGTAAGCCAGGATGGAGAGCTGCACAATTCGGTAGAGAATCCCCACCTTCTTGTTCTTTGCAATGACGTATTTCTCCGTTTTATAATCAAAAAGTGAGAGAAATAAACCCTTCCAAGCCACCTGCCCCATTCTCCCTGCTCACTCTTCACGCCAGGCTGGAGCAGCAGCGTTTTCAGCTTGCATTAGCCACACGTGCTCTGCACAGAAACCTGAACCACCAACCCCTTCAGAGCAGAGGGCCGCTGATCTCCTCCCTCCTGTCAGCTGCTCCCAGCAGTGCTTGCAGGTTGGAAACCAACAGCTGCGGTAATGAGATAGTCCTAGCTGCTTTGCAGCTAATTCATCCTCCAGGGAAATCCTGCCTTGGTTTTGCTCGCATGCTTTTTTCTTTATCTCCATTCACAAAATATTTATAACAAAAGCTATGTTACAGCATGCAAGGTCACAGAGCTATAGTATGTCACCATTGAAGCCTTTCTTCAGTTTGTATTATGGTAAATCACTGTTTATATTTAAATTTCTTAGGTGTATAAATGAGGAAAGAAAATTTGCCTCCTTCCAAGTTATCTAAAATATTTTCCTGCCTACTACATTTTCCCAGCACAAAACTAACAATTTCAGAAACTATTAAGTAAGTTCTGCACGTGGTTAAGGGATCAGTCTCCCTCATATCTCATCAAAACACACAGTGAGCACAGAGCCAGGTGCATTCTGATGCAGAACATAAGATCTGATGAAATACCATAGGGAGTGGAACAGATTTACCCCTCACTGAGTGAGGAGCTGTTTACCCCGACAGTGCTGCAAGACACGACTCCTAGCCCAACCTAGACATCTCCATGTACAAGGAAATGAAACAATCATTAGATCATTATTTAAATTGGGATGGATGACTAGACTGTCTCCTGGCTAAGGAGGGATCCTTATGAACTCTGAGGAGGGAAATGGGCTATGCCTGGATCTTCCAGCAGCAGCCTGGCTCCCAGCTACACTGCTGTGCCAGGAAAGGGTCCAGGGGAAGCTGGGGCTGGAGCATTTCCCATTTGTGGACACCAACAGAGACATCTCTCAGGAGCAGTTTGAGGATGGGGCTATCCAAGGGACTGAATCTATCAGAGAGCACCCATCAGAGATACAAGGCGTTGTCCTGGGCATAAATTACAGGGTTTGCTGTGTTCCCACACGAGCACCTAACTGGTCATGCCTGAACACTGGGCTGGGCATAAATGGTGGGTTTGGGTAGCAGGGAGGACCTGTCAGGGGAGGGAGAGGTCATGAACTGCCCTGGGCCTCCCACAGCAGGTCCAGCCAGCACCAAAACTGGTGGAACAGTCACCAGGCACCAAAACTGCAGCTGGAAGAGCATCTGGCACCTCTGCACAGCCAGGTGCCAAAAAGGGCAGCAGGCAGGTGGGAGGGGACACCCTCGAGGACATGGCTAGAGACAGGATCTTGCGAGAGCTGCTCAGTGCCAGAGCACGGGCACACGTCAGAGTGCTGCAGCCCCTGGGCAGCCCACAACAGTGCAGGGAGAAGCAACGAGAAACGGAGGAAAACCAGGAAAGAGCAGGAAGGAAAAGCATAAAGAAACTGTTAGACACACATCCGCAGCCTTCTGCATCACCCAGCACCTCCTTGCAGGAACCGGGACGGACCGAGCATAACTCACAGCAAAAATTCAGTAAATAGAAGCTACAAAGGAAGAAGTGTTTAACCTCTTTTAAGCCTGGTGAACGGAGAGGAACTGTGTTTACTTGCTTTTTTTTTTTCTGATTATTTTTGTTTTCTTTTTCTCAATAAATGAATCAATGATTGGAAGTTTGTGTTAACTGACCACATATTAAATTAGGTGCAAATTCCCCACTGTTTTGCCTGCAATGGGAGTGCATGAAGACAGGAGCCTGGGCTAGGTCAGGAGCAAGAGAGCACCTGGACCTGGGCACACACAGCTGGCAACTGGAACGTGCACTTGAACACGGGCCAGAAGAGTGGGTCACAAGCACCTTGTGAACACGCAGAACAAAACCATGTTATCCAGGCTGCAAGCAGCGCAGTGAGTGGTTATTCACTCCAGCACAGGTACCTGCTCCCTGTGGAAACTCTAGAATTCTGTTCCTAGAAGGAATCATTTCCCAGGATTTCAGGTTTTGTAAAAATTTTATCCTCCATCCTCCTTAAATTCCATACACCACATTGGTCAGATTTTTGAAGGAGTGTGAAAGAGAAGCTTGCTGCAAATCACAAGATAATCACTGACAGTTTAAGAGAACTGAACATTATCCTCAAATATCCCTCATTTTGTCTCTTATCTTGCCACCACCCTTAGAGCTTCTGTCTACAAAGTGAAAGAAGCTGCATAACCTTTCTGCAGCAGCTCAGAACTAGAACAGAAATCTGCTGGTGCCCTCCTTTTAACCCCAAGGCTGCAGCGCTCGCTCCAGCCCTGCACCATGCAACTCCCTCAGCGCATGGATGTGTAACGAGGAGGTCCCGAGGACACGTGGGCAGCCCAGGGATGCCTGTCAGGGATCCAGCCCAGCTCGCACCACCGTGATGGCAGCCTCCGAGCTCTGCTGGCATCACGGTGAGAGAAGCCCCAAGAAGGCCCCCAAGTGTCCCCAGAGGAGGCCAGGGTCCCCTGCTCTGGCACCCACCTGGCTTCGTTGCCACCCACGGCCGTCTCTTGGGGCTGAGATATCTGCGAGGTCACCCTGGCCCCTCTGGCTCAGGGTTAACTCCGACCCAGCTCACAAGCTCCGAGCTGCCCTGCAGGCTCAGGGCAGGCAGAGGGCTCATCTTCTCCCACTCTCTTCAAGCCTCCTTTTTCTATCTACACGCCCCACGCTGCAACCTGTCTTTATCTCATGCTGCCAATCTCACATTTTTTTCCTGCTCCCAAGCTCCCCCTACAGCCTCTTGCTTACTCAAGCAACTGTAAAGACCAAGACTTAGAACTGCCCCTTCCTCCAGCAGTATTAGCCCTCGGAATCCACCCCTCCTTACTAGATGCCCACACACCAGACTGCGTGTGTGCCCTGTATTTGTGCCCCAAGCACAAATAGAAACTTTTACATTTAATAACAAGAGAAAGTAAAAGCCTCCATGAAAGCACACATTAGTGCAGATCAAGGAGACCTTGATAGCCAGTAGGACCAAAGCAAGTAAGAACTGCAGGCCCAGACTGTCTTTGCTAGCCACTGCCCAGATGCACGCAGTGCAGTTCTGGGAGCACAGAGAGCTGCCCAGTTCTTGGGCTGCTCAGCTGGGCCAAGACAGGAGCATCCTAAGGGAGTCACCAGACTTATCCCCTCTCAGTTTGTTCCTAGGTGAGAGATTTGTGCAAGTACAGGCTGCTAGGTGAGAGCCAAATGTTGGCTATGAGCAGGGGCCTGGTCCCACTGGGACACCATCTGCTTCCCTGCCCCGACAGAATCGCTCAAGGAACTATTCTAACGAGTGTGTTGCTCTCTGGCCTGGTTTTGCTTAATGGCACAAACCTAGGTCTGCTAAGACTTTCTGCAATTATTTTCCAGGGTAATTTAATGTGATGAACAATTTACACAGGAAAAAAAGGTCTTCCTCAGCATGGGAAGTGTTCCTGTTACAGATTGACCTGCAGATGCCAGTGAGATTTGAATACTAATTAAAAAATAAATAAATAAATAAATAAAGCAGAACTTTTCTTGCTTGAAAGCTTACTTTTCTTGCTTTTTAAGCCCATCAAGTAAAAACATAGCTGCTGTAACAGTTTTTAAATAGAATCTTCTTGTTTCTGTCAAATGTACCCCCAAAATCCTCAATGTTGCCCTACACATACACACAATATTTTGATATGTAGAAGGCACACAAAGTCATGCTGTAAGTGACCTTGCCAAATATTCCCCTGAATATCTCCTGAGCAGGAGGAGGGTGAGGGAGGAATGATCTAGAGATCCTCCAAACCCACCTGGATGCCACCCTGTGCCCGGTGCTCTAGGTGTCCCTGCTTGAGCAGGGGGTTGAACTAGATCATCTCTAGAGATCCCTTCCAACCTCAGTCATCCTGTGATTCTGTGTGATTCTGTTCAATCAGCCAGACCAGGATGATGTGGTGTCATCACTAACCAGAGCTTTACCCACTCCTCTCCTCCAGCCCAAGAAGTGCTTGAGCAAAAGTACTAAAGAGAGGGAAGAAAAATCCAGCACATTTAATGAAATTGATCCATCATGCCCTGTTTGGTAAGAGAGCTGGTACTAAGTCAGATGAGAGAAGTGGAATACAAATGCACATAAAAACATCATTGGGAAATTGCGTGCAATAAGAGATGGAACAACAGCTTCATGTAGTGCTGTATTGCAATGTTTTCGCCTTCAAAAGTCTGCCAATAAAAGCATCAGTAGGGAATAAGAGGGAAATATTAAATGAAAGGCCTGAAAGCCAAACATTTTTAATAAAATGGATGTTCACATTAAGTCATTTAAGTCATTAACTAATGACTTAAAAGGCAAAGATCCACTCTTGAGTATGCTTGGCAGATCACTTCCATTAGCACATTAATGCTTCCTTGTCAATATTCATTGCTCCTGGCCTGGAGGAACGCACAACTGCTCCTGGCTTGATAGCTCCACTAGTGGCTGCTGCCTTACTACAAGCGCTGAGGAGACACCCTCAACCCCTTCTGCCAATGACAAACTTCATCATGCAAACACATAGAAAATGCAGACTGAGGCTTTTGCCCTTTCCTCCCTAGAATTACCCCCCAAAGTGTAACTCTGGTCATCAGAAAACCTGAAGAGGACATAGAGCTGGCCCACAAAGAAAAGGTTTCCATTAGCAACACTCTTCATCAACCTGCTTTGCACATGACCTTGCCTTAGCTATAGAGGCTGCTACAGCCCCAAGGCAGTCACATGTTACCAAAAGCAAGAGGCTTGTGTGTCCCAAGCATGCCCAGAGAAAAACTCTGAGCTTTGGTGCACAGTGGAGTATAGAGGCAGTAGAGCCATTTTAGACAAGCTGGCAGCGTTAGGGGCAGTCTACTTGCAGCCTCACAGCTCATTCTGGCTCATTTACTCCTTTATAAGAAGAGACAGGAAGGAAATTTCTCTTTTGAGCTCTAATTTCATTAGCCTCCAAATAAAACTTCCCCAGTAGGCTCTGCAGGCTGGCAGAGCACTTCATTGTTCTAATGTGATGCTCTAACGTCAGCACCCAGCAAGGAACGGCTCTTCCCAATAAGCTTCCCTATAAGGCAGAGATCCACTCGACTTGCTCTTGCTAACCCGCAGGCCAGCCGCACTCACTCCCTCAGTTCAATGCCCAAGCGGGTCTGCTTCTGAACGCGCGCTGAAGGAGCTACGACTCAGGCCTTGGGAACAGTCACAGAACAGACATAAGCAGCTCTTATCACTCCTGATGAAAAAAGCATTGAAAAACAAATTCTGTCCTCCCCTTCAGGGATGTAATTAACAGCCTGTCTTAGCTGTATCAGCTCTCATTCAGTCACCACCCACCACCAAACTTTCACTCCTTGGCCAACTCACGAGGAGAAAAATAGCCACATGGCCAAGCTCGCCTGGCAGAAGCTAATATACAAAATGGGAACAATCTGGAGCCAGGTGTGAACTCAGACTTCCAGTGGCTGCAGTGAGGGGTGGGATCATCAATAGCACCCATCAAGGGCAGAGAAAAAATATGTTCTTGCACTCCTGGGCTCACTACCACCTTTGAAAGTCCCCTCTCCTTGGCACTCGGATCCCAAACAGCTTGATAATATGTAACCCTGGCTGAGGTCAGGAATTCAACATCTTTGAAAAAGTATTTGCAAGTCCCACGCCATTCAGGGAGGTGGCACTTACCTGCCACTGTCAGAGCGCAGTGGAGTCAGAGCCATAGAGCAAGGCCACAAATGTTGGCAAGGTTTCTGTACAGAGGAATGGATTTGAAATGCTGATTGCAAGTAAATTTAGAAGCACAAAAAGCATGGCTTTCATGGAAACAACATTAAAAAAAATCAGCTGTGGTATGGATCAATGAAAAATGTTGGCAGTTCTGACTATTCTCTTAAGTGCCATCCAATTACTGAAAATGTGTTTAGCATCCACTATAGTAATTGTGAAGAATTAAATGATCAGATGGCACCCACTGAAAATTACAACTCACTGAATCCTATAATGCATTTAAGAAAAAAATATCTAAAAAGGAAAATGGCACTGCAGGACCTGATCTCTTTGACAGCCATAAGGGACATCAGAAGGGATCCAAGTAATCACGGATATTTAATTCAGAGAAGAAACTAGAAAACAAAAAGAGGGAGTATAACAAGATTGTCAAAAGGAGCTGGGCTCATAAAGCTTTGAGAAAACCTACCTTGCGACTCATCCATCTCAGCACAGACTTCTACAAATAACATTTATTCTTTTAGGAAAGTAACTAAGAAACTACCTACAGCTTTTTTGCTTTGGTTGCTCTTACTTTTGCCCTAAGTAGGCAGGTTGGGGCACACTGCAACGTCTGCCTGTTTTTCAGTCAAATTTAAACCTAAGACATACCCATGGTTCTACTACCTGCAGAATGCATCGTAAAGGTATCTGCATTACTGCCTTAAAGAAAATGTATTAGTAGCTGCACAGCCAGGTACTAAACAGGAATTTCGCATGGGAACTTTGATGCAGGTCACAAAGCACTTGTTAACTTTAGTTAACTTCAGGCAATATCAATTAAGCCAAGGGATACAGGGAACCATTTTGCTTTCTGTAGGTCTGAATTAAAGTTCTTGTTCATTCTACAGGTATGTAAACACATTAGGTTTGTGAGCCAGGCACAACCGAAATAAAGCAACTACACAATTAAGGACACCAAAACCAGAGAGAGGAAAATCACAAAAAAAAAAAAAAAAAAAAAAAATAGAGAGAGGAAAACTCTGGAAAAAC